AAAAAAACGTCTGAAATGCATTTAGGAAGTTTTAGGGATTACACAAAGGAAATTTGAGATTTTTGAGCTGATGAAAAGTATTTTCAATTTTAACATGAAAATTACTTTGCACACGGACTATTCAAAACAAATACTCAATATATTCAAGAAGAAATCTTTATCTTATTTTATTAAAAATACTTCACAAAGAAATATGAATTTTTGTATGTGAAAGACTTGTAATATTAACTGAAAGACTGCCAAATTTAGTGAAGATATATCCAATATAATGAGTTATAAGTATTAATTTATAAAGACTTTAAACGAGTACAAAAGGTTGCGTGACTCGGTGAAATTGACCGACCCGTGTCGAGAGAGTTAAGTAATATATAAAAATGTAGTCACAGGCAGTAAGTATGTACCCATTACATTCTGAGGTGTGGTCATAGGCAGTCAGGGTCTTAGAGAAATGCTTTTTCCTGCACCTGCAGTGGAAAATTCTTGGAAGAGTAGATCAGTAACAGCTAATGACTGGACATGCTCCTGGGGCTAAGCTCTCGCATCCATATTGGAAAAGGCGGGCAAAGTCATAAAACCAGATTAATCAGTAGACACCTAGGGAGCATTGAAAAGATCCAGGCAGTCCCAAGGATGGGTTCTACAATGAGGACTAAGGAATGCAAACAATAAATAGAAGCTATGATACATCATATGGAGAATGGTTGTCTTGTCTCATGTGTCTTGAATACTATGCAAAGATGTGGAGGTGGGAAAAGACCTGCTGAGACACATGCGAGTTCTACTGAACAAATTGGTTAGTTGGAACAGGAGTTTTTAGCACATTGTCTATCTGTGCCAAACAGTTGGTATTAATACTGAAACAAAAAAGAAATACACATGTAAAATATCCCAAAAAGTAGAATAAATAAATAAAAGAACTATGTTTCTTATAACAAAGTTAAAAAATCGAATAGAATTAAAAAGGTCAAAAAGCTAAAAACACAATCAATCTGGACAGTGGCACCATCACCAATGACACTGTCCATTGTCAAAGGTAAACCCTTTGAAAAAAACATGTCTAAAATAGCACTGCCACTGACAGTCATAGTAACAGAACAAAATAAAATGTGAGCAATTGTGATTTGAGTATCACAAAAGCCACACATTATAAATCTGTCCTCTGTAAAAGAAAACAACATGTCAATAAACTGTGGTCATTGTATAGTCTAGACATGACAACTTCCTCCTTCCAATCCTTATGGAAACTAGATGGTCAAATAACAACAGAAGGATTTATTTGGAAAAGCTTGTTATGAAGTTGCTCACTCCAAATCGACTGTAAACTGACATGAAGCTGTGTATTAATGATAGGTCTGTGGTCAACATAAGAGACAGGCAGAGCTGTGACAACACCAGAGCAGACAGATTTAGTTGCAGAGTCAGCAAGCTCATACCCACAGATAATAACATGGCCAGGAATCCAGAAAAACATAATAGTTGAGAACGTATGCTAACTCTCTCTAGACAGGCTCAGTAGAATTGATTGACCATGTGACCACTTTGTACTCGTTTAAATTCGTTATAGTTTTGATACTACTAACTTTTAATATAGTATGCGTATTTTCACAAAATTTGGCAGACTTCAGAAAACATTACCCTCCTAAATTCATTTCAATCGTTTTTCTCAGTAACTCTTCATATCATATATGTTATTTTCTCTACCCTAACTCTAGACAAGGTTGATCAATTTGACTGATGTAATCATCACTACCACACACACAAAACATACCAAAGAAATCTAAATTACCTTTTTTCTTTCTAAAATTACTCCAAATAGTAAAATGAAAATACATTTGTTTATCCTAATTAGCTTTAACCCTTTCGAGACGGGTCATGGGTGAAAGACCATGTCATCTCGTTTGTTGACCCACATTCAAAATTTTATTGAAATATTAGTTCATGAATTTATGTCAATAAATTTGGTATCAAACTGTACATTATAATTCAAATTTTAGTACTATATGTTACTCAGTTTTTAATTTGAAAGTACATAAAAAAACAGATAAACATCGATGTTTGTGTGTCACATGGTATGTTGAATGCAGCACTGGTTGAAATTAGATGTTTGTAAAGTCAAAATACCAAGTCAATAGATTTTTATGAATTAGAAACTCAAATTACCGATACTGACAAGCTATAATATAAAATAAGGTCTTATCTTTTCAATTTGCTAACATATTGCTCATGTAATAAATCAAACATAGTGGCACCCCACCCACCGCTTTCCATTTTTGGAAACGCTCCCTTATATACACTATATATGACATGAATAACCAATCGGAAGCTCAGTATGTCCCCCTAGTGGTTTTCTCAGCTATTTTAAATTTTTAGGATGCCATTTCTTTCTTTTGAACCAATATTTCAAGAAGGTAAGGCGTGTCTTTAGTCTGCTCAAAATTTCATATTTTTTTAGACTAAAATACATCTTAGTAACTAAGTTTGATAAAGTATAGCAGAATTCTATGGTACTGATGTAGTAATTTATGACTTTTTGGTTATTCAAATGTATATATAAAACCTAAAAATATTATTTTGTTTCATATCCTCCACATACAAAATTTATAAAGGCTTAGCAACCTACATCAAGCAGCAACTGAGTACAAAGGTCATAACTAGAAGAGATAATTGTTTGCTTTACTTCTTTATTTAGTGTTCCAAGTTTTAAGAAAAATAAGTTTAAGAACTTATTGCAAAACAACAATAATCTATATGCATATATA